AAAGTTTGTTGTATATGGAATTGAATTTGGTGCACTTGCGGCTAATTTGAGTCCATTTGCCACTAAGCATATTGCGATATGTATCACCCTTGTTCAAAATTGTGCGGAATTTGACGATTACAGCATCCCAAAAAGCAACTCTCTTCATATCGTTCCCCATAGTTGGTTGTTTTGAAGTATCGCACCAAGCCACCGCCAACGCATGCTCTTCCTCCGGTGTCCACCATGTTGGAGGTGCTTCCGTTTCGTCCGTCCCGACAACGACCTCTTTCCCTTTCTTTTTTGGTCTCCTTTTTTTTTCCCGATGCTTTCTGACTACCCCCGATTTGCGTCTCGACAACGGGTTCTTGCGTGGGTGTGGGTTGTGTGACTGTTTGGCGCATGGGACCGAATGTGTTAAAAAGGTTTTGTTGAATGTTTGCATTTTGTTGCATAAATGGCGAGGTAGAGAATTGTAGTGGGGATGAGGCGGGATTGAAAAAATTGCCGGAATATGGAATTTGTGGTGAGTTTTGGGAGTTTAGAAGGTTCATGTATCCCTCGTATCCCGCAAAACCTAATGGAGTGGATGTGTTTGTGTTCGGAGGAGGGGTATTCGGGTTTTGATCCATAGTGGTTTTTTTGTTTTGAATGATAAATAGAGATAGATATAGAGAAGTAGAAGTGTAAAATGAGATATATATGTATTGATATAGTTTAAAAAAATGAAGTAGTAAATTTTTTTTTTTTTTTACAATTCACTATTTTTAAACGGTAATATTACCGTTTTTCAACGGAAAAGAAAATGCAACGGTCGAAAAAATGGCGTTAGGATACATTACCATGGTCACGCGTCTTGGCGTAACGCCCCATAACGGGAGCCTGGGGCGGTGTTTCCGCGTTATGGCGCCGTTATGGGCGGGCCACGTCAGATAACGCCATAAGGGCGTTGCCCACACCCGTCCGTCTAACTGTGGTCTTTTAGGTATCCATTGTCCCATGTAGATTCATATTCTTCTCGGGCTTCTAGATTTGCCTTTTCTGGTGGATAGTATCCCTAGGAACTTATATTGGAGATCTCGCTCACATGGTAGATTTATGGATTAATGATAACAATAGCTGATAGATTTTTTTAAAGTTCATATTTGGTTTTCAGATATAACTAACTAGTTTCTTATAAAAGTAATAATATATATTATACTTTGGAACATTGGATGATTCTACTTGTACAAAAACCATTTTACTTGGGCTTGTTTAATTGCTGCCATTTTATTCACTTTTATTACTAATCGCAAACCCCACGATTTTTTTTTTTTTTTTTTTGTCAAATCAAAGAGGTGTACAATAAATAAAAGGATGTATGAATATTAGCTTCATCGCATGTAAATAAAAGGGTGTATAAATAGTAGCTCCATCGCATGTAACTTTTCAGTTTTCATATGTTGAACGTGTATTCTCTAATGATGTGGCACAGACTTAAGAGTATGATGTGTAATTTATTTGTGAGATAGATATTTTGCTGATTAAGCTAATTTTTTACTTTTTTTAGATGATAGATATAATTAGCCTATTTTATCATTTTAATAAAAAAAACATATCTTCTCCGACCCAACATCATTTTTACATCAAACTTTGTGTTATGAATAGAATCAGATTAAAATCTTACTGTCATATTATTTGTTAAAATTGAATTTGTTGTTAAACTTTTATTTATTATTTTTGGTCCTCTTAAGTTTGAGTTTATAGTATCTAGTTTATTTAAGTTATTTCAAGTTTAATTAATTTACTAGTATTGTTATGTTAAGTGTAATATCTGCCTCGAATATATTTAAGATTTTAATATTTTATTTAAATGTGTTATAAATATTTTTTTTAATTTATTAAAATGTTTGTTTTATATATCAATTATTTTGAATTAATTATATAAAAATTATTTGTTTGGTTATATATATTTGATAATTAATTTATAAAGTTGTGTTAACAAAAGGACTTATGATAAATTTGTAAAAAATTAATAAATAATATGAGTATATTTTAGAAATGTACAAAAGTTAGAAAAATAATTGGTATTGGTATAAAAAATAATGTTTGGTTGGAGATTAATCATTATCTACACATTTTTTTCTAGTATGTGTGGTGGAAAAATGATGTTAAAGTTGGAGATTATTAAATCAATTATATTCTTTGAATGTTTTTGGGCAATATATTTGCTTATTTATGTTGTATTATTTTTCCAAATTATGTAGTTTTGGGCAATTCATTCCTTTTCAAAATTGATCATATTATACAATCCAATTTACTAATAGCGATTAAAATAACTGACATTATTTTAATAAATTTTAATTCCTTGTCTTTTTTTTTTTTAAATTGATTGCTTTTGCTGATTTGTTTGATTAAAACTAGATGAAAGTTACTTGATTTATATGTTACATAAAATATAAATATGTAGTTAATGTATATTTTTTTTAATTATGTAACTAAAAAGATTATACCAAACATTATGATGTATAATTGTATATATTTATTTGTCTTCCCATTTTCCTGAAATGTTACACTGATGTTATTAAAAATGCATTTAATGTGCAAACTGTCACTAAAGTTGTAGTATTTTTGGTAGCAAAATGTTACTTATTTACCATTTCATTCTATATTGATGATAGAGAGATTACTAAAAATGATTGATAAAATAACTATTTTACTTCTTATAAATTAATAATTGTTGCGTTTCAACTTTCAACTTTATCTTTATTTGAGTACAAGAAATACGATAAGTTATACGAAACATTAAAATGTTTTTAAACTTGTACAAATTAGTTTTCAAATTAAGACAAATTGATTTGTAAGGGGAAAAAAAATCAGAAGTCAAAATTTGACTTGCTTCGACATAAGACTACTGGATAGCGGCCTCTTGTTTCCTTTGCAGGTGACTCAATTCTTCTTCCTTCTTCTCCTCCCTCTGTCAAACACACACATACACACACACTTGTCGTTTTCTTCGTTCTATTCTATCTTCCTTCATTCCACCATTAATGGAAGCTGCCCACATGACCCAATTAGTATTCATATTTTTTCTTGAACCACACAACCCTCTATTATTTTTTCTTTAATAAAGACGACTGATTTATTTTGAAGCCGTCTCCAAGATAATTTTTGCACTATTTTCTTGATTATCCTACACTAGACACTATGATAATTTGTGGCCTATTTTTTTTTTTTTTTTTTTTGAAGTATGTGCATGGTAGCTTCATTGGGGCATTTTGGTGAAAAGTGAGCTATAGAAAAGTATGACTGCAATGGAAAACTTGAGGCAAAAATTAGCTATGGCTGTCAAAAGCATCCAATGGAGCTATGCCATCTTCTGGTCCATTTCCACAACAGAACCAGGGTACCTCTTTATACAAGTTCTTGTTCTTGATTAATATTATATTCAATAAACAACTGATAATGAAGAAATTAAGTGAACAACTATCCACGAATATATATATATATATATATATATATATATATATATATATAT